GATTTCGACGGAATGTCATATGGCGTCACCTATATGACGCCAAAGGATGAGAATGTGTTGGGTATTACCATCTGATGGAAACAGAATAAATTGCAGAGTATTTGAACATGATAATCATGCAGGACAATGGTATGTGTCAAAGGTTTTACCAACTAATGGTCAATACCATGAATACCGTCGTATACACTTACCCAGGTTTACCCTGGTTTGATGGTATTTATGGCAATATGATTACCATATTCATACACTAGTGTTCAAAATTGAAACTTTTATTCAGCAAAGAGGCATTAAGTAAGTGACAGTAAAACATTTATAATGTTACAAAAGGTTTCTATTTCAAATACATAAATGCTGTTCTTTTGAACTTTCTATTCATCAAAGAATCCTGACCTAAAAAAAATAGCATTATTTCCACAAAAATATTAAGCAGCACAACTGTTTTTAATATTTAAATAATAAGAAATAGTTCTTGAGCAACAAATCAGCATATTAGAATGTATTCTGAAGTGACACTGGAGACTGGAGTAATGATGCAAAGAATTTAGCTTTGCATCACAAGAGTAAATTGAATTCTAAATTATATTCAAAAAGAAAACAGCTATTTTAAATTGTAATAATATTTCATAATATTACTGTTTTTACCCCAAACTTTTGTATTTTTGAAGTGTATATTATAGTATTTATAATGGTAAATCGTGATAATCATATCGAAGTTCCCTGTGCCAGCATTACTGTACCATACTGCAACCAAAATGCTTTTTTTTTTGTAAGTCACAAAAGCAGATATCGGCAAACATGCAAAATAACGTCTTCCATCTTCATTCTGTCAAATTATTGCTGCTTTTGTTATGCTACAATGTACACTTATGATTCACCTCTGCGGGTGGTTTCCAAGGTGATCTGTCATGCATTCCATAAATTGTCCTGTTTCTCTGAACATATTTTGCTGCTTTCTGTACTCATTATTCTCAGTGTTTTCAAAACAACCGTTTAACAAAGATATTTTCTCAACTGCCATAAATCTGCATGTTGTATTTGTGATAAAGATGAATGGAAAGATAATTATCAGCATTGTTTATGGAAAATACGCTGTGTTAACCTAGTACCGTTCTTCAAAAGTGGCATCAAGCCACTAGAAAAGTACAGAAACCAGTCAGAATAATGAGAGTTGCTTCATCACATGTCAGACGGTTTGTTATGTAAATATCTTCTTGTGACCTACATGTCTTTAAAGCTTATATTTTAAGCGTGGCCCGGGCTATGCTAGCAGTGGGGTTTTTTCCCCCAATTGCAGAGGAAACTTCAAACAAACATCTCGACTGTTTCTCTCTCTCTCTCTCTCTCTCTTCCCATCAGCCGCAGCACTCATTTCCTCTGAGCAAAACACAGCTAAATATTTTGTCTCCAAAAAAGCAAATTTACATACTGTTTTGGAGGTAATGGAGCAAAAAGCTTGATGCGCTCACACGCAGACAGTGACTGAAATGAACTATTAGCCGTTTTCTGTCGACGTGGCCATAGCTCATTTGCGGCGCATTGCATAATTGTGTTTCATGCCCTTTTTTTTTTGCAGGAGGGTGGGGGCTTTATTGAACACTTTGATGAGGAAATGCTCTTTTTCTCTTTGCAGAAAGAGAGTTTGAGGACTCAAAGGTGGGAGGATAGAGGCAAGGAGGGCTGAAAAGAGGAAAATAAACTCAGGCTTACGCTAGTGCATTTATGTGGGTTTGGCGAACTAATTGAATGTACTTTCGTTTTGTGATTGAGGGTTTTATGATCTAGAGGCAAAGCGGAGTCTGCCAGTTCAGTTCTGGCTCCAGAGACCCAGTCTAATCAAAATGGGTTTGGTGGCATAGCCCTTCAGCACCGTGATATCTCAACAGACACTCGTGGGTTTAAGCCATCTGCCCTCAATAATACACCCACCACACGCGAGCTAAAGCTCAGTGACTATACCGCATTACTGCTCACCAACACCCGCTTTAGAGTTTAAAGGCACAGAAAAGTCCAAACCCCAACAGACCGGCAGAGCTTTTGATATAAAAGGGAAGCCTTAAAATTGAAATGCAAGGGGATAGAGGATTGTATTGCGAAAAAAGCTTTGTCAACATGAGCAAAGTTACACACCAATTGTTTGATGAGCCGTCTAGGTAAGAAACTAGGGAAAGTGTCCTAATCGTGTTTAAGACAAGAAGATTTTGTGATGTACTGTTAAGGTCTTCTGAGGAGCTTTGGTCTCCATGTTGCCATTATGCATTGGAAGAATAAAAGTCCTGTATGTGACATGCTGTACTCCATCTAAAACTATTTCAAACAGCACTTTGATCATTGAATATGACTATACATGAAGCTTTAATTATCTAATATAAATTGAAAGATTACATGGAATAGTTATGCTTTAAACAAAAATGGGATTCAAATGGTTGCGGAAAAAATAAATGGTGACCAGTTACAGGACCGTAAATCTTCGTCAAATAAAATTATATTAAAGAGGATCTATTATGCCCTTTTACAATGTCTTGATTTTGTTTTTGTGGGTCTACTAGGTTTTCATGCTTGAATGTTATTTTTCACGTATTTTACATTATTGCAGCACGTCTCTTCCCATTCTGTCAGTAACTCTCTGGGGTGCTTTTCCCATAAAACAACTCGCTGCTTAACTGCCATATGATGCATCGTTGAAGAAATGCGTCTGTTTCCCGAAACCTCATTGTCGGTAAATTTGTCGTTCAACCACGTTTGTTAATGATGTGATGCAGGTGGTGGAGTAAAAACGGTAACACTTTATTTTACGACCCGCAAACAACTGCGTAAGTAAACCGAAATTACGGTGTACGTTTCTGTAATTATAGTGTACTTCCGTGTAGGTATAAGGGAACAATATGTTAAGTTTTGGGTAATAAAGGGGTAACAAGCAGATATACAACCTGCAAATAACTTCGTAAGTAAACCGAAATTACTGTGTATGTTTCTGTAATTATAGTGTACTTCCGTGTAGGTGTAATTAAAAGGTTTTTTTTTTTTTTTATTTTTTTTTTTTTTTTATAAGAGTACCTTTCTCTGTAATTACTGTGCGAATAGTGTTGTTTCGTATTGTTACATAGTAAGTAGTGTTTGTTACCCGTTTCAACTATGTTTTTTACAGGGTAAGTGTAACTCCTGCGGGCTGTAAATTAAAGTGGCGCTTGTTACCTCCTTGTTCTGTGTAGTTACAGGGTAAGTACAACATTAAACCAGTATGCTGAAACAGACAAACCTAGCTTCACCATTAGCATTATCAACAAATTTCTAAATTAGTACTTGTAAAAGTACAGTAGCACAATTAAACCAAAACCATTTATTAAAACAAGTTTAACAATAAACAATCACAATGTTGAAATTACATCAACACAATCTGTAAACAGAACAGAAATAATCTTGAAATCACACTGTACATATTTTGCCAGAAATGTGATGATAACTTTTATATACAACAGACGTACAATTTTTGCCTGGAATATATTAACAGAATAGGTACCTGTTAGTTTAAAAATAATTACATTATAAATAATTTGCTTGTATATCTGCTTGTTACCCCTTTATTACCCAAAACTTAACATATTGTTCCCTTATACCTACATGGAAGTACACTATAATTACAGAAACGTACGCAACTTTACTTACGCAGTTGTTTGCGGGTCGTAAAATAAAGTGTTACCGTAAAAACTTATTTTAATTAATCCATTTGAGATCAAATTAATGCCAGATTTTTTTTCTATAAATTACGGATTTGGCATCCGAGGACTAATTCCCTCTTTTCTTTTTTTTTCTCAGATATTTTGCTTTATTTCCATACTCAATCGTCTTACATACTAGAGCACGTATGCACATGTGCACTCTTCAAAACTTCTTATTGAAAAAAATGTAGGCTATTGACAAACTAAAAGACGTAAATTACATTTGTGTATATTGGGAATAAAACAGCTTTTTTGCTCAAGATAGGGATTTATTCAGTCCACATGTTATGCAAACAAGAAACTCTGCTTCTAACCACAGGTCGAGATCTGTCCCACACAACTTTGTGAAGCTGAACTATGGTTTCGGGAAACATCAACTCGTTGAACTATGCTGATAACGAAGGAACTTGTGACCATAGTTGGCTAACGAGGCTTTTGGGAAACGCACCCCTATTTCCAGTCTGGAACAGTCCGAAAGTGCTCTGATTGATCAGCTGCTTCAGCATGGTATGAAAATGAAATGTCACGACCCTTACCATAACCGCGAGTACTAACACAGTACTAATGCAACTCAATCAGGCCTTGACCCTTTTTTTTTTTTTTTTTTGCATATGCCTTGGGTCAGACTTATTTAAATGAGGATATGTTCCTGGAATCTCAAGACTACAATTGAGGCGTTTCAGGGAGTTCAGAAACAGTGATTACTCATTTAGATAATAACTCCCTATTTAGTAGACTTTGTGCGTCGTACCATTGCAGACCTTTTTTAATGCTCAAACAGCAACATTACTCACTAAAGAAAGCAGAAAATGTAAATAAATAAAACAAGAAAATGACATAATAAAATACAATTCAAAAAGTTAAAAATGTTGTTGGACTTTTATGAGATTATGAATTATGGACATTATGGTTTTAATTATGAACTATACAAATTCTGATATTGCTTGACTTGTTATGGATGAGTATCTGTGCAGGTTTTATTTTATTTTATTTTGATGAGTTTTATTTTGGTATCATGTACCTGTATTCTGGGATGACACTAGCGTGGGTAGAGCAGGTGTAGAGCTTTTTGATCTGCATGCCTCAAATGCCGACAGAGATGTTTTTGTATGAGTATAGCACTTTAAGTACAGCAAATTACTGTGTATCCAAAGTATATTCACAAGTAGGCCTACACATATATTTAGGTGCATTGGGTGGAGTGGATGCCAGACTACAAATGAACGTGATACAGGCCATTGTGTGTATGTGATTTCAAAATTGCAGCATTACATCTCTGATTACCTCTTTATACAGCAGAGATCACAGCCGGTGTATCCTTAAGATCCTCGAGTCTGTTGTGAGTTTTACTCCTCCTTCTTTCTCAGCGGTGTATGAGTCTGTACTGTTGCCATTGTTCCTGAGCCATGCCCATCACCTTCTGTAGTCTCTTTCTCAAGCGCCAGATGTTCTGTCCTGGAGACCTGCCAACCCCATTGTGCTGGCACAGCAGGAGCTGATGAGAAACTCTTTGTGTGTGACCATACTCACTTGCAAAGGTAAATTGGACAGAAGTCTTAATGTACAGAAGTTTTTCCACCTTCAACAACAAAAAAAGTGTGCATTTACTAAACAGTTGAACAAGCTTAGCACACTAATATTTCAATGGCCTGCATTTTAATCACAAACCTTTCAATGCAAGTTGTAGGCTCACATTTTAATAATATAATTCATGTTAACTAGAACTTGTTTTTAAGAAAATGTCCTTTAAAAAATTGGATACATTTAAACACACATTAAATAATTTAGACATCAATAATTAAGCAAAAACAATGCGGTTTAATTTTAGTGATATGCTCTTCTGTAAAGTTATTTTTCTAAAGAACAAACTTTGGACATTGAACTAGACTAGTCGTATAAGTTAGTCATCTTTTTTCTTGAAGACTGATCATTACTGTTTTTATGTCAGTCACATTAAAAGAATGATCTAATTTTAATCAGAAAAGTAAGACTGATTACTCTTTGGCTAACTGTTAGTCAAACTATCTGGACGTGTCTTTCGGGTCAAACACTGGCTAGGCGACTATACATGATGAGAAATTACATATTTAAATATATAGGCTGAGTTATAGTGTATCTTTCAACATACCTTTTCATGTTGATTCATGTTTATGTCGTGCTAGTGCTAGTAAAGCAGAAGAGATTCACTCACGCTGCGTGCTGCCATTTGAACTGAAACGATATTTATTGTTTGAATTTGTAATTTTACACAAATACATATATAAATAAATGTGAAATCTTTCATCACAAATAACTCCAAAAAAAAAAACAGCGCATTGTGGCTTCCAGATAAAAATGATAGAGTGCATCACACTTTTTCGCTGTTGCCTGATTTGCATAATTCCTTGGTGACTCGGATGCTGAAACGGCAAACAGGGAGTGCAAATAAACGGCGATATCGGTGGGCGCAAATCGTTATTAGTAAATTCCTACATTTCACAGTCCGGGTGGCACACATTCATAGACATGGACACAAGTTCAAAAACAAATCATCTCATGCACCAGAGGACACATGCAATTTCATTACATGCAGATATACTGGCAAAGGATGTGCACAAGTGAACACACAGTCTCCATCCCTCCCTCTCTGTCACACTCGCGCACACACTAATGCTTTGATGAGTTAAATCCTTTGCTGCTGCAGTCCCTTAGGAAGAAAGTGGAAGTGTGTGTCCTAAATGATTGGCCTATTTGTGCAGAAAAACAGATTCTTTCATTTGCCTAACTCTTTCACGGTGCTTTGTTGTCGTGTCAGCTTTAATTTGGATCTGTAAACAGGTTAACTCTGTCTCTGCCTCTTTCTCACCATTGAGTACGCCACACCATCTAATTAAGTTCTAAATGGTCAAAGCTATACTTTCTCCATTTTATGAATGGTAATTAACCTTTAACATTTAAGCTCTCTCTCTCTCTCTCTCTCTCTCTCTCTCTCTCTCTCTCTCTCTCTCGCTTTCATCTGCTCATGTTCATTGAAGAATATACTGAATGACTGTGATGTGTATTGCACTGATATCACTGACAACTATAAAATACACCAAAAGTGTAGAAGTGGTTAATGTGAATCATGCATTTATATGAGCTTAAAGTCATATGATTAATTTGTGTGCAAAAAAATACCAAAATTTCAGTCTAGCTGAAAGAATAATTAATGGAATTATGGAATTATTAGGAAACCTGGAATCTCTTATGTAGTCTTCCAAAATAAATGTTCTGGGCCTATAGGTGCACTGTAAAACCTGATGAGTTAGTTCAACTCAAACCGTTTGAGGAAACCGATTGCCTTAAATCATTTAAGTTTATTAACTCAAACAATTTAAGCTTAAAAAAATATTTGATTTGTGTTCAAGTAACTCAATAATTATTGTTAAGATAACTTGGGTAAATAAAGTTCCCTTTCGTCCTGGGAACTCCAACGTGTCGTCGGGGAGTTCCCTGACGAATTGGGATCACGCTAGGGAGCCAATTGCCTTCGAGAGAATTAAAACGAGCCAATGGAATTGGCATGCAAAATTTGCATTCCGCAGCCCGCCTACCAGCGCGGGTATAAAGGGCGGAAGTAAATATTGCGCAATGCTTTTTGCTTCGGAGCCTCCAGTGTGTCTCTTTGAGCTGCTGTGTCCTTCGAGAAAGCTACATTTAAAAAGAGAAGAACGAGTCATCTTTGGAAGGAGAGAGAAGATCCTCTGTTGCTGGTGTGACGGCACTTCGAGTGACCATCGCTTCCCGCGGCCAGCTGGCTTTAAAAACAAAAGCTGTTCTAACGGCTGGTATTGGGTGGTGAGTGCAGCACTCGGGCTTGCAGTTTCCCCGTCTGTCTGCCGCGGTGGTTCCTCTGTGCCTCGGCACGTTAAAGAGTATTTTTTCTTCCCTTCTGAAAGAGCAACACGAGTGAAGATCGCGTCCTTTTCAGGATGACGTTTCACTTGTGTGTTTCTGGATGCGATCGTTTCCTGTCCTTATTTGACGGCCACGTTCATTGTTTCACATGCCTAATCAGTGTGTGAGACTATGTTCGTGGGTGGTTCGTGTTCTCTTAGCAGTGCATGACCACGTCGGCACGTTGTTCGCCTCCCCTTTCACGTAAAGGTTGGAGCAGTTCAGCGTGCCGTGTGCCGTCGAGCGCCGGCTGACAGCGCGGGTTGTCACGGCAACCCAGCGCGCGTCATTCGGCGCTCAAGATGCGTAGTCAAGATCAAGACTCGCGTGCCTCTATGAGGTGAGTCCCTTTGCTTATTTCCCGATTCAGTTTCTCTTCTGGTGCACCAGGAGAGGGCTGCTTTGGCGAATAACATTGGTGATCTGAGGGTTTCAGTGAGCACGACCCACTCACTCCTCTAGCGCATCGCAAACATGCTGAGATTGTGTTCGTGGGTGGTTTATGCTTTCTCATGAGAGCATGACCACGTCGGCACGTTGTTCGCCTGCCTGAGGGCTTGAGCGTCCAGCGTGCCGTGTGTCATCGAAGCGATGGCCACGTTCACTATCTTGCATGCCTGGTTGACGGCCACGATCACGGTTTCACATGCCTAATCAGTGTGTTGAGACTGCGTTCGTGGGTGGTTCATGTTCTCTTAGGAGTGCATGACCACGTCGGCGCGTTGTTCGCCTCCCCTTTCACGTAAAGGTTGGAGCAGTTCAGCGTGCCGTGTGCCGTCGAGGCTTTCGAATGGGTTTCTGGTCCTTCTCATGAGGGACCAGGCATTTCATTCGGGGCCCCAGGGAGGACAGATGTCGATCGCTACATCGGAGAGAGGGCGGTTATATTCTGGAAATGATGCTGAGTTCCTACTATAATGGTGTGTTCTCATGCTGAAGATTCAGACTTAACGGCCACACTTTCCTGGGCTGTTCTAAAGCGCCTGGATGTGTGTGAAGAATTTTGGCAGTATGGAAGCATTTTTGGTGCCAATATGGCAAGCCAAACATGCCTAAATCTGCAGAAGTTTTTCCTCTCTCACTACCACTGCACGTGCGTAGTTCTAACTCGGGGTTGAGCTGTGCTTAGTGACTGACCGTGATTAGTCACAGCGCTGGCCCTCGGTTAGACGATGTCCACACTGTGGTCCAGAGGCACCTCAAAACCAGCCCGCTCGGAGTTTGTTTTCCCCCAGCAAAGGGAAGGGAAACAACCCTGAGAGGAGCGACCCAGAGTATGTGACGTTCTGCTCTTGGGAGTGCGTGTCATTACCACTCCTTCCCCCGGGGGAGGGCCGGGTGGAGAATTTCGTTTCTGTTCCGCCGCTGGTTATCCTGTAATCAGCGGTACTCAAAGTTTGAGCAGTCCACTTCCTCTGAGTCGTTCACGGGCCCCAGTGTTCAGATGACAGTGAGGGCTGCGGCCTTGTCACTCTCGTCTCTCGCTGGGTGAGGGGAAACCAGGACTCGACGCCCCCGGGCCTCGTTCCTCGTTTCCCCTCACGGTCGAGACTGGCAGTATAATAAGACCAGTTTCCTCCGTCCGAGAGGGTCAGAATGGCAGTGCGTGCTGCCCCCGAGCTGCACCACTCCCGTTCCCCTCTCCCCAGCTTGCAGATAGCAGTGACGCAGCCCCGTCTGCGTCGCTCCGGTCTGCAGCTGGGCCCGGAGGCGCAGAGACCAGGACACGAGGAGTCAGGGCCTCGTTCTTCGTCTCTCCCCCTCCCTTCGCCACCGGGCAGCCCGCAGCAGAAAGCCAACGAGCTCTCTCTACCGTCTGCCCCACGGTGGACCGCCCAGACCCCGCTTCCAGTGGCTACATTGCCACTGGAGCCGGGTCCCGGCCTTCCACCTCGCTGCCCCTCCGCGGGTACGCCGGTGGTTCGGGTGGGCTTATTGGCTCGGTACCTAGAAGCCTGGCTAGCGCTTCCGGGTCCGTCTCGATGGCTCATCCGCACCATTCGGTTCGGCTATGCAATTCAGTTTGCACGCCGGCCTCCCAGGTTCAGGGGCATCCACTTCACCCGTGTGTGGTCAGTGGATGCCCCTGTCCTGCGGAAAGAGATCGATGTCCTGCTGGCGAAGGACGCGATCGAGCCGGTCCCTCCTGCCGAGATGAGGTCCGGGTTTTACAGCCCCTACTTCATTGTACCCAAGAAAGGCGGTGGGTTACGGCCAATCCTGGATCTGCGAGTTTTGAATCGGGCCCTGCACAAACTCCTGTTCAAAATGTTCACGCAGAAGCGCATTTTCGAGTGCATCCGTCCCCAGGATTGGTCTGCAGCGATCGACCTGAAGGACGCGTACTTTCACGTCTCGATTTTTCCTCGTCACAGACCGTTTCTACGGTTTGCTTTCGAGGGTCGAGCGTGTCAGTACAAGGTCTTACTCTTCGGGCTGGCCCTGTCGACCCGCGTCTTCACGAAAGTCGCGGAGGCGGCCATTGTTCCCATGAGAGAACAAGGCGTTCGCATTCTCAACTATCTCGACGACTGGCTCATTCTGGCTCACTCGCGAGATGTGTTGTGCGATCACAGGGACGTGGTGCTTCGGCACCTCAGCCGGTTGGGGCTTCAGGTCAACTGGGACAAGAGCAAACTCTGCCCCGTGCAGAG